TGCTGTGGTTTCGGAATGGGGCCGAATTTGGCGCACTGCCAGCCCCCTTTTCATCAGTTGTTGACGCTTGTAGTTGTTGACCCTCAACAATTGGTGAAAATCGGGCTTAGCTCCCACCAAACCCACCCCCCCCCCTCACACGCCTCCAACGTGCGCAGCGAATAAGACTGTAAGCAGTAAGCGGTGGGTTGTAATACTGAAGATTCGGGTTGTAGCAATGTGCAAAAAGTACTTGGATGCTTCCTAGTCACTCGACCAGATATACTCCAGCCTTCTATGGTGAATCAGTTAAATCCTGATGGGAATACTACACACGGAACGTCGATTCCATTGTCACAGTTCTGATCTTATGACCTCTACCTGTTGAAACTTGGAATGCTTCTATCTCAATATTACTTACTTTACGGGGGAGGCAATATACTTTCTAGCGAAACCTTTATTTTGAGGGAGCTAGTGAAGGGCAAAATGAAATGTGAGGAACTCAAACAGTCTAAACAACCCCAAGCTTCTTAATCTTTAGGAGGAATCACAAATGGTGCCAAATGGTATTCGGTCTCGGGAGGAATGCAGGATTTCAACTATTTAGCCACGAATGACATGGACATCACACTTGAGCTCAGCTGTGAAAAGGTACGCTTCTACTGGATTCTTACCAGAAAGGATTCCACATCCCTTGAAATCTTTCCACAATTGAATTAGCGATGAATTATGCTTCAAATTGTATAGCTGTTCTACTGCAGATGCCTGATGGGAAACTATTGCCGCAATTCTGGGACGACAATAAGAAAGCCCTCATGGAATACATGTTCACTGTAAGTCACCTTATTTATCCTCTAAATAAAGATTTTAATACATGTAGACTGTTTTTACTTATGTATTATGTTTCTACTTGCTCAAAGGTCCACGCCGGTATCAAAGGTACTGTGACCGATGCTGAAACTAACGAACCTATCTTCCAAGCGGGTATATGGATTCGTAATGGTACCTCTAAGACTCCCATCCGCCATCCGGTCACCTCATGTAAGTTTTTATCTTAAGAATTCACTTACAGAACTTGTGAAAAAATTCTAGATGTAACAGCAGAAATAAAATTAAGAAAAATGTGGAGAAATAATGCTTTCGTGAGGAATGACAAAAACACCCTCACAATTATGGGAAGGTGCTTCCACTATTTGACTTAGGTGGGCACGGTATTGTTTACAACAAAATATGCAGTGTATCATACAGTGCACTCCGCTCAGAAAGAGGAAAGTTATCCAGAAATTGCGGCGAATCCATGTAACTCAAAAGCATAATCCACGCTGCTTATATAGGCGAAACCAGACTTACCGCGCTTGATATAGTCGCAATCTGACGGTAGCGGCGGAATGAATCCGCTTCCGACTGCCTTTTTTATCAAAAATGATCGGTTAGTGTTCGATTAGTATTCGATTTAGGAAGAAACAACCAGCGGTGGTGGGTGGCCGTGGGTTGACTCATTCCATCCGTTTTTGACACTAACCCGACCGATTGAGTGCTACACCGCATTTTCCCCAACCCTCCTTATTGTAACTGGGAGCAGAGGCGCAAGAAGGAAGAGCGCGCAGTGTAGCCCAACTCCGCCCATACGACCACTACGTAATGTGCATTTAAGGCTCATTCCAAGCACTCATTTCTCACAGCTCTATTAGCTGTGTTCTTCATCTATGTTAGCTGTCACATATTCATTCAGGGAGTCGTTAGGGCCGCAATTGCCAGTCACGTCACGACAATGTGCCTGGCTCGGCACAAGACCCGAACGAGGGGGTCAGAATAAAAATGAAGAGTTATCTCGGTATATCCAAGCGGATGGAGTGCCACAGGAATGACTTCCAAAAGAAGAGAGATGAGATAGGAGACAAAAGGGTAAAAAGAATGGAGCGTCTGCAAACATCATCGGGAAAGAAGGTGGAATGAGCAGTCTATAAGGCAGAATCAGATGTTGAAGATGAGGCCAAAGCTGACCAGGGGAATAGTGAGCAGATTAGCGAGCTCATCCAAACCACTGCCTTACCATTAGCGCTAGAACCACCAGTTATATTTACAGACAAAAATTTTACTGTATGTGAACTCCAGTTGTCCCACTATAGCTACTGCAGCTGACGTGTTTGTTCAAAACTTCGTTTTAGGGGTTCTTGGCGACTACTACCGTATTCTGCCACCAGGAGATTATGAAGTGATCGTTACCGCTGATGGTTACGAGCCAGCTGCTCGCAATGTAAGTTTTCTGCAACATTTTAGGGCTAGTCCTTCCTACAAAGGATCTCCATTTTCTTAATTTACTCCGTTCGCTCACCTATGGTAGATTCCCTTCCAGACTTCTTTTTGTCACCTTTCTGACCTTTTTCGACCCTCTTCCCTTTTGCTTGTTTCGACCCCAGAGCGAATGGCCTCAGACCTTGAACTTGAACATCGTAAAAACAAAAGATTATAGATCAAACCTCCTTTCTTAATAGTTATGATATGTTTTGCAGATTGCCACTCAAAGCAAACAATATCTATTCAGGTGACCGTCACTAACAAAGTCCGCGATAGCGCCATGGTTGTGGACTTTGCTCTGAAACCTCTCGCTGAACAGGAACCATCTGTAAGTTGCTAAAAGGTGATTATATTTGTGAATTTCTTTCCGCCAGAAAACTACTATTAGGCGGGATCAAGGTAAGAGAGATCGGAAGAGCG